GATCGATAGCGAGACCGAATGTGAGATCGATTGTGAGATCGATAGTGAGATCGATAGTGAGATCGATTGTGAGATCGATAGTCAGATCGATTGTGAGATCGATCGAATGAAATAGACCGAGTGAGGTCGATTGTGAGATCGATCGAGAGAGATCGATCGAGCGAGACCGATAGTGAGATCGATAGCGAGATGGATAGTGAGACCGATCGAGTGAGACGTTGGTTCCTCCCCCCCCGAACCTCCTTATCACCCGAAGGGTGGCCGTATAGGTAAGAGTTTCTGGAGAAGGCGCACAATAAGATCCCGGAAGGCCTTGGAGACCTCCCACATGTTCGTGTTCCTGTCAGGTCCGATGTGGATGTCCTTACCCAGTATCTGCAAGGTACTTGTTTTCCATTTGCCGCTATTTGCCTTCAATTACGTGCCAGTATCAGGAGATACGATGTCTCAATTACTTCTGCATCTAATGTGAAGGACCTTGGCACAGCCACGACGGCCCACAAGCGCAGGGCCGCCTAGAAAGTTCACCAGCGGCGTGGTCTTGCCTTTCATCCTGGTCGTAAGCGTCCTTACCTTTCGAAGTTGTGTGGGGCATCCCGGAAGGTGCATAGGTAGGTCAGTTGTTCTGGCTATGGGGTCCGTTGGACACGTTGTTTTGGGATGTCCTCCTGGTGCTATCAAACAATGCAGGTTTTCGGCTGCTTCCTGTTCGGGCTTCTGGTTTTCGGGAGCGTGTACGACTAGTGTGTTGAGAGTCTTGCATGACACGAAAGACGACCCGATCTACCGCTTGCGTATTGAACGACCGACCCTGGACTCGTAGGTTTGAGCTTCCTTGTCTGTCTTCGACTGGAACTTCGGAGAGTCCGGACGCTTCTGCATGATATGCCTGGTTGTGTTCATCCGCCAGACCGTTGGCAACAGGCGCGTGGCCCAACTGCAGCACTGTATGCGGCTGTACTTGACCCAGGATGGCGGCCTGTCCAAGATGACAAGTGGAACGTCGAAGGCAAAGCTTCTCTCATAATGAATGGGATTGATTTCAGGTATCGTGCTACATTGCGTGTGCGTGCGAACTGCTCTGCCTCCGTCTGGTCTACTGCTAGCCAGCACTGGTGTGACCAAGGCCTTGCACCCGGTGCTGATTGCACGGTCTTTAGGGCCAAGCATATAATTTGCCCGACGAGGGCGATTATGAAGGAGTGGCCCTTCTGACTACGATCGTGGTTGGAAGATGTTGGCATGAGAGCCGATTGCAGGACACGGGATATCCTACCTTCAGCAAGTGTTGTCGTTGTGTTGATGCGGGCCCCCGATCCGTAGATGTTGGGGATGCCCCCCCAACGCTCTCTTGCAGAATCCCAGAGTTGCCGAGGGGCAATATCTTGCTCCTGAAGCGCTTGGTGCTGATCATGCTAGTGCTTTCTTCACTCGCGGGGTCCCCAGCTTGGACGCTACTACTGGTCACCTCCAGCCATCTCAGGTTCTCGAGTGGTCCTGTGGGAACCTACGGGGCCAACGTAAGGCTATTGCTGGTACGTGAGGCCTCGAAAGCTGCGGTGGCCACTTTGCAACGGACAATTGAATGCGTCGTGGCGGGTGGTCGATCGTCAGCTTGGGCATTCTTATGGGCTACATCTGGGGCTGGATGCTAACATGTGTGGTACTATAGCTACTGCTGAACAGTCGTAGTCTTCGGGCTGAGCTCGATGCATGTCTTGTGGAGGTTTGTATTACGGTGGGTGATATTCGATGCGGTTATGATTACCTTCTCCTGGTCAAGGGGCTGGGGCAGCCGCGAGCTCAGGTAGTATCTAGCAGTTCGATGTTTCATTCTTCGGGTTCGGATCTGGTCGGCGCTCGATGATCGTGGCCCTGGTAGGTCCAGGATTTTTTGACTAAGAGTCAGTCCACGGTCTTACAGAGATCCCAATTCGCCATAAGGGATGAGGAGTTGTTCCTAAATTGGCGTGCTGGCTATTTTGCAGGATGGGCTGCCGAAAGAGCTTCTCCCGCTCTACAGGAGTCCGATCTCACTCACTACGTTGATCGCCTCACCCCTGGCACCTTGGATCGCCTGCTGGTGGTCCGCGGGGAGGTGGTTCATGAGATTCCTCGACGGGCCGGTGACAGGCTCGACCGCCCGCCTCCCTCCGCGCCCCCTCTGCTTTCCCGTTTTTCCCCGTTCGGAAGCAGAGGTTGCGGAGCGCTGTCCGTGAACCTTGTCGTGACGGCTCTCTTCTGACGTGCCAGATTTGTGCTCGTAGATTTCGTTTGAGCGGCCAGGCCCAGGACTTTGCCCAGGTCTTTGTCTTGGCCCCACCTACCTCTCCCTGACCCTCTTGCCCACCCCCTGCATCCGAGTTGTGCCAGCAATCACAGGTTGAATGTCCTGCGAGGCGTGTTGTTTTGCGAGCACTGTGGGGCCCATGCAAGCGTGATCGTGCAGAGCCCCCCTTCCAAAGCATGGAAGGAGGTTTTGTCTAGGGTGGCGAGGGCCCACCCCCCCGAATAAAGTGGCGGCAAGTTCCCGTGATGTAGAATGCCAGGCGTGACCTGTTTCAGCGGGTTCTCAGATCAGATCCTCCTTTTCCTCCTCCTCCTCCTCCTCCTTCTCCTCCCCCCTCCTCCTCTTCTTCCTCCTGTTCCTCCATCTCTTTTCCTTCTGAATAACTCTTCCTTGTCGCACCCCGCCACGAGTCGGCAGGGCGGACCAGGCGATGTGCCTGAGACTTCCTCACAATGTATGATCATGACGTTTGAAGTTTGCAAGAACTTCCTGTGTAAATGGCAGGCCTGTTCAAAATCACGCTGGTTCATTAGCGACGCGTGTAGTCGTCTTAAAATTGTGCAGCAACCTCACGGATCTGAGGCTGGTCCATTTTGAAAATGTCGCGCTCGCTTTAGCGCCGCGCACATGCGCTTGTTTCCTAAATTTGCGAGCGATTCACGGATGGGGTGCGGTCCGTTTTCAAAATGTGGTTACCACAATAGCGCCGCGCGCACTTATTTTAAAGTATTACAACAACCATCGATGCAAAGTGCACTGATTGAAAATGTGGTTCTCGCCGTGGCGCCGCGCACAATGGTCTTACGAGTCTATTGCTGTTTCACGGATTCGCATGGCTGACGTCCCACCAATCTTGTTGTGGAAAGAGGTAGGACTGTCAGGACGCAAAAGTTAGGTTCAGTTAGGTTGGCTCGCGGCATTGCAGTCCCAGGAGCGGCGTTTTGGCACGGTTCAGGATCGCCCACACGCTGCAGTAATCTTAATTCGTGGCGTTGATATCCCAAGAATAGTGCTCCAGCACGTTTCCGGATTTGATCTTCCAGCGGGGCAATTCCCTCTGGGAAATGCATCTTTGCAGGGCCTATGAAGATGGAGCTTGAAGGAGGGTGTACTGCAACATCGTGAATGGGTTGTGGGTTTACACTCCTCCTCCTCCTCGTCCTCCTCCTTTTCCTCCTCCTCCTCCTGCTCCTCATCATTTTCTTCCTCCTCTTACCTGCTCCTCCCTATCCCTCGCCCTCCTCCTCTTCCGATCCTCTGCCCTCTCATCCTCCTCCCTAACCCCACCCACCCGTGAGAGGAAGGAGCAGGATGTGCAGGGATAGGGGGGGAGGAGAAGGAGGAGGAGGAGAAGGTAGAGGAGGTGGAGGAGGACGACGTCGACGCCGAGGAGAAGGAGGAGGACGCATGGAGGAGGAGAGAGCAAGGAGGAGGAGGGGGAGGACGACGAAGACGACGACGACGACGACGACGACGTCGATGCCGAGGAGAAGGAGGAGGCGGTGGAGGAGGAAGAGAAGGAGGAGGACGACGACGACGAGGAGAAGAGCAGCATGAGCATGGGGAAACCCAAAGGAAGCGCCCGCCGCCGCTTCGGCGCCACCCCACTCCAACGCGTCGCAGGACCCTGGGTATATGCGCCTCTTCCTCCTCCTCCACCTCGCTCACTCCTCATCCGTCACATCCTCATCCTCCTCTACCTATTCCTCCTTTTCCTCCTGCTCCTCCTCCTCCTCCTCCTCCTCCTGCTCCTTCTCCCCTTCCTCATCATCCTCATCATCATCACCACCACCAGCATCATAAGCAGCATCATCCTCAGCATCACCATCATCGTCGTCATCATCATCGTCAGCGTCGTCATCATCAACATCATCAGCATTACAATCATCACCAGCATCATCATCATCATCATCATCATCATCATCATCATCAGCGTAGCATTATCATGGTAAGGTTCCTTGTTGCGAACAGACAGCCCCCCAAGTGCGGGGCGGTATCCCTCCCGAGTAGTCCGGGGCGGTATCGATACCCTGGCGCAGCCTCCGGCGGCGCCCTCGGGGCGCTCCGCGCCTCAGGTTTCAGGTGTTCAGACCGCCCCGGACTACCCGGAGGGGCCTGCTGAGGCCAGCTGGGACTAGTCGGGGAGCTTACTGCGGCCAGCAGGAATTACCTAGAGCCCTGATGGGCTACCGGCGCACAGCCCGAAGCCTTACCACATCAGCGTCTTCATCTTCATCATCATCATCATCATCACCATCATCCTCACCATCATGATCATCATCATCATCATCACCAGCAGCATCATCATCAGCATCAACCCCATCATTCCAATAATCAACAGCAGCATCATGAGCATCAGCATCATCAGCACCATCAGCATCACCAGCATCACCGGCATCATCGTCACCGCCATTACCATCATCATCGTCATCGCCAATAACATCCTCATCATAATCAGCATCATCATCGCAGTCATCAAAATCAGCATCGCCATCGCCATGGTCATAATCATCACCATCACCACCAGCATCATCATCATTGATACGATCATTACCATCTCCACCAGCATCAACATCAGCACCATCATCACCATCTTCGCGTCATCCTCAGCATCATCCCTCTTCCTGTCCCGAGCGAGGAATGAGTGAAAAAACAACTCGGGTATTGCGTGGGCTGGTTTGGGAGCAGCAGTCGTCCGCGCGGGCTCTTCATGGCAGAAGGAGATGGTCGCCGCCCAGAGTGGACGTGTGGATCGTGTTGCAGGTCGGGTCCTGCGGTATCGAACCGGACGGCGCGCACCACATGTCGGCGCTGCGGGCTGGCCAAGAAGAGGCGCAAGCCAGAGCTGACCTACTACGACGCAGGGAAGTCAGCGAGGAGGGCGCCCTGGCACAGCAAGCGGAGGGATGTCGGGCCCACCCTGGCCGATAACATCAAGATCAAGACCGAGCCAGGGACGCCACCATCCTAGCCCAAGCAAGACGGAAGCGACCGCATCCTGGACCCAGAGCGCTTGCGGTTCGAGCTGGGGCGCGTTGAGTGTTTGGAGAAGCGCTTCGGCCTGCAGAGCAAGCCGATCAAGGATGGCCAATTCCAAGACTTGGCCTGCCGTCGTCGCCAGGTGGAGGAGAGCAACGCTAAGTTGGATGCCCCTAAAGAGGAGTACGCATTGTAGAACTTGCTCCACCACAAGAGAGGCCAAGGTCGCCAAGACCGAGGGCAGGGTCGAGAGCCTAAAGAGGAGCTGGCGGCGACCCGTGCAAAGCTTGACGAGGAAATGGTGGCACTCGAGCGGCAGAAAGCAGGCATCAGGGAGCACGCAGACACCATCGCGAAGATCATGCAGAAAGGGAGGGGCTTGGGGGGCCGGCATGTCCGACGCCAGGTTCGCAGTTCGCGCAGGAACTCGAGGTCTTCAGAGACAGGCCCTCAGGAGACAAGGAGGCCCGCATCAACAAGCGGGCGCAGGACTCGACGGCGGCGGCGGCGAAGGCAGCCCAAGCAGCAGGGGCAGAGTTCGTTCTCGCAGCAGCCCCGCCAGCCGAAGGCCCAGCCCCAGCCGCAGCCAAGGCCGCAGCCGAGGCGGCGGGAGGCGGCGCGGGGCAGAGCCCGGCAGCAGAGGGCGCCCCCGCGGGTGATCCTGGCATGGGTCTGGACGACTTGGATTACGATGATGCTGATGATGATGATGATGATGATGATGATGATGATGATGATGATGACGACAGGGGAACGTTCCGCCTTGGAGCTGGGGCCATGCCAGACATCGACGAGCTCCGCGAGGCGAGGAAGCAGCGCGGCGGCAGCCTCAGCCCCAACAGCCCCGCCCGCTGAGCACGACGAGAACAGCAGCTGGCAGCGCAGCGGCAGCGGGAGGGCCCCGCCACGGGTCGCGGGAGGTTGCCCGAGTCGAGGTAGAGGAAGCACCCCAGCGCCAACGGCTCGGGATGGCGACCCTTTGACGGCGGCGTGGGCGACGGAGCCCACCAAGACCACGCGCGCGGCAAGCAGCTGGCGCGCGCAGGAGGCGCATCTCTTCTCAGAAGAGGCTGACGGCGGAGGAGCAGCGGCGCAGGCAGCGTCGCGGGGGCGCCGAGAGCAGGCACAGCGAGAACGGGCACCAGCGACGCGGGCCAGAATCGCGGAGCCTCGGGAGCGCGGCAAAGGCGAAGCTAAGCACTGCGGAGCCCGTGGAGGTCGGCTAGAGACACGTCGATGGCGATGGCAGGCGCACGGCAGCACTGGTCAACGGGCCGCAGCACGGAAATAATGCGTTATTCGCGAGCGCGCGCGCGGCGAATGACAGCCCGGCAGGCGAACGCGGGCGGGCCCCCCACCCCAGCAGGAGATTGGAACATTGCCCCGAAGGCATAATGCGTGAAGGCGCAGTCGCGGCTGGCGCCCACGAGAGGCGCGGCGGCCTCCAACGACGCGGCCGCGGGCACCTGCCAATTCGGGGCGGGGCAGGGGGGGTCGCGCATGGATTACTCCATCGCGTCGAGTGACCTCCTGCGCCGCATCGAGGGGCGCGCGGCGCTGGAGGGGCCGCCCAGTTCACGTTCGGCGGCCAGGCCGCAATTTAGGGCGCATGGGCGGGCGATCGGGAGAGGTTGGCTGGCGGCGCCAGCGGCCTTCCCAGCCGAGGGGCCCGAGGGGTCTCTGCTGGCGCCGACGCCGAGCGAGGTCGCCAGGGCCTGCGCGGAGGCGGACTCGCTAGAGGTACTCGAGGGAGCGCACTAGCGGGCCACGGAGCAGGTCGGGGCCGAGCCGGACAGGACGCGCCAGCCAGCTGGACATGAGCGGCGAGGAGGACTGCCACGCGGACAGAGGCGAGCCGCCTCGCATCAACTGGGGGGCCCCGAACCTCGACGGGGGAGGAGACCGGCAGCGCAGAGCCCAGGTGCCCATGGCGCGCAGCGCTTGCTCGCGGCGGCGGGCCACATGGCCAAGACAAGGGACGCGCGGCGGCAAGGCGGCCGGGCGACGCAGTCGGAGCGGCGCCCGCGCAGTGGCGAGCCAGGTCCAGCACCCTGGAGGAGGTGCCCCAGCACAATGGACGAATGGGCCGAGGGGGCCCGCAAGGAGGCGGGGGCGCCCAACTCTTTGCCCGCGCGCCAAAAACGCCACGAGCTCCGCGAGTGGATTCGGTCCTCGTCGGAGGTCGGCGGCAATCAGGTCCACTCGTTCGGGCGTGGGCCTAGGGTTGGATTCTGACGAGCTCGGGGGGCACGGCAGCCCTGGCGGAGGTCGGCAGAGGGCGGGCGCGGCGGCGCACCATGCGGGCGAGGTCTGGGCGCGCCAGCAGGGCCAGGACAACCGGGGCCCCAAGTGGCAAACCTCTCTGGGCCCCGCCAGAAGTCGGCCTCCAGCGGAACCCCCATTCAGGACGCCCACAGTGGATGATGCCAGGCAGGCGGCGAAGGCGTTCGGCGCGAGCGCGGGGCTGGGCGCGGACCACTTCAACCCGAGGCAGCTGGCGCCCGTCTCAGCGGAGCTGGTGGAGGTGCGCATCTCGTTCGGCACGGCGACGGAGGCGGTCGGCACGCTGCCAGAGGCGGCCACGCGCCCCGCGATTGTCACGCTGGCCAAGAAGGGCGGGGGCCGGAGGCCGGCGGGTCTTCTCCAGCGCCCGCCCCGATGGCAAGCCAGAATGCAGATGCCAAAAGCCAGGGGGAAGACGCCCGACATCCCCGACGAGGCGGCGGCGACCTCGCGGGGGGGGGGGCCAGGGGAAGCAGCCGCTGAGGCGGCGCGGCGGCAGGCGCTACACAACCAGGCAAGAAGGGCGCAGCACTTGGACGCGGGGCGCGCGCCCTCGAACCTCTGGGCGGCCAGCGAGGCGGACGCTCTCGCCATGGCGCCGAGGAGGGCGCCGCGCGTTGTCGCACTGGGTGGATAGCCAGATGCGCCACGATGGTCCTCGAGGTGGAGGATCGTCGCTTCTGGAAGGAAGCGAGCGCACCCATCATGTTCGACGACCGCTCGCTGCGCTTGGCGGGCAGGTTGTGGGAGGCGTCGCATGACCTCGGAGGAGTGGCCAGGGGCCCCACCCCAGGGCCGTGGAGCAGGCCGCCCACGCAAGCCAGGCCAGAGCGCTCACCCCCAGCGCTCGGAAGTCGGCGCAGAGCGGACCATTGCCAGGCGCGGACGTCGGCTGCGAGGCCACGGCATGGTCGGAGGCGAAACTATAAGCATGGAGGAGCCAGCTGGCCTCGACGCTGCTGTCCAGCAGGGCCTCCGGCCGCAGCGCGGCTCTCAGCTTCCTGGCCCCGGACGCAGCGCGCGACGACCCGCTGTTCCAGCGCGTCTCCAGGCCGGCGGGCGCCTGGGCGCAAGCGCCCCAGTCGGCCGCGAAGCTCGCAGACCGCCGCGCGACCGCGAGCGCGCTCCTTGGCGCGAAGGAGGAGCTGGGGCACAGAAGGGCCGAAAGCATGGCGGGCTCGGGCCCGGCGGGGGCCGCCCTGCCAGCGCGCCCGCGCATCGGCTGGAGCACGGGGCCCGCCCGGGCCATCAGGGGCGACGGGGGCAGTAAGCTGGGCACCATGAAGTGCGCGTTCTGCACGTTGAAGGTCGCCGTGGAACAGCGCGTCGCCGTCTCGCCGTTGCGCGAGGCGGCGGGCCACCACAAAGGGCTGGACGACGTGGCGGGGCGAGGCGGGGCCATCGACAGCGCGAGGATGAGGGTCTTGTCCGAAACGGCGCCGGCGAGAATGGCAGCTCGCAGTCCGTCGGCGCGCAACGCAGTGGTCGGGCGCCCGCGGCCAGTGGCGCAGCGCGCCAGCGCGAGCCCACCCCTGGCATCGTCGGCCAGATGCCCGCGGGGATGCGAGGAAGAGGGCACGGCGCGGAGGTGCCCGGCCCTACACGGCCAGAGGAGGACACTGCAAGGGGGGCCACGCGCCTTTGCCGCGCTGAGAGGCAACTCCAGGAGACAGCGATGAGCACCCCACTCGGTCAATTGGGCCGGCCGCGGACCACAAGCAGGATGCGCCGATGCCGTTCAACGACATCATCCTCAGGAGGGTGGGCAGCAACTTTGGGGGCGCCATGGCGGGGGGGCCAGTTTGGACGGCTCGGCCATCTGCGCGACGAACAGGCAGCTGGCGAGGGCTGGCTGGGCAGCGGCTTCCACGTGGAGGAACGACGCAGAGCGCGCCGCGATTTGGGTTTTTTTTTGCCGCCCCCTCAGGATAATGGAGCAGGGGTGCTCCAGGCGGCGGCCATCGCTCTCGGAGGCTGCCTCGGGCCCACCATCATATTCACGGAATCGCCCACGGCGCGGGGCGGCCGGGAAGCTGGAAGAAGGCGGCGCACAGCGTGAAGGGGAGCACGAGCGGAGCTGCGGATCGAGTTCTGGCGGCTGATCGAGGGCCACGGCGGGCAGAACATCAGCACCATAAAGGTAAAAGCCCTTTGCGCGGAGCACGACGTCCGCGAGGTCCGCATCTCGGACAGGCAGCGCGCGGGGAACGCCAGGGCGGACAAGCGCGCGAAGGAGGGAACACATCCTCACGGAGTGGCCCAGGGTCGGCTGGACCGCATCGCGACGGCGGATGATTTGGCGACGCCAGAGGCGACACAGGCTGGAGACGCACTCCTCAGGGCGGCGGACTGCTTCAACGCCATGGGCTGGAAGCGATCCGCAGCGCCTGACCTGGGCGCAGGAGGCCGCAAGCGGACTGCGAGGCGAAGGGCGCGGCATGCCCGACGACGGCGCGGGACCTGCACGACGCGCCCATCATCGCGAACACGGGGGGTCGCGAAGTCGAGCTGCCGGTCTTGCGCAGACGCCGGCACGGCCATCCAGCGAGGTCGCGACGCCGCCGAGAATGATCGACAGAGCTGGGGGCACGCGTGGACCAGTGGAGGCGAAGGCTTGGCAGGGCGAACAAAGGCAGCAGCAGCAGCTATCGCGGCGGCGGCCGTCGGCTCGGCGATCGCGCAGCTGGCGGGCAACCAGCTGAACCAGGGGAAGAACCCGAGCGCAGACGGAGGCGGAGCGCCCGCTGGAGCTGCCCGAGTTTTTAAAAAAGGAGATGGAGCTGGAGCTGAAGGCGCCGCCCAGGAAGGACGTGGACGCAGGGGAAGCGGTCGCGACAGAGCTTGTGGTCGAGGCGCACTCCCCGAGGGACCAGGCGATGGAGCCCCTGGCGACGGTTGCGAGGTGCAGGGGGAGATCGAGCCCAAACCCTCGTAGTGGAACGCCAACGTACACCCCGCGCACGCGTTGCATGCTGCAGGCCCGAGTGTTTCCTGCTCCATCTACGGGTGCGACGCGGCGTCGGCCAGGGTCGTGAGCCCCACGGGCCCACGTCCGACGAGCGCAGTTGACCGCCAGAGAAACGCGTTGCGAAGGCTGCAGAGGGGCATGCACCCGTCGCACTCGGACTGGCTCGGTGAACCAAGGGCGGTGGCGAGGAGACAGAGGCACCGCAGCCGATGGAGGGATGCCCACGGACGAGATGCAACATGCTCGCTCATGCGCGGTGAGGTGCTGCCGCGCGAATTCACGCGTCGCGGTCGGGTCCGCTCGAAATATTGGCTGCGTCGGCCCCTGGTGGCTAGGGTGGGCGCTCCCTGGGGGCGGGCGTGTTGCGTGGCCCACGGGCCTGTGCGGTGTCGGGGCCCCACTTGTGTCCCCGGCTGGCCTCTGACAGCAGGGTGCCAGACGGGGACTTTGCCCCCTGGGCGTCGAGGGTCTTTCCTCGTCGCCGCTGCGCTGAGGTTCGCTCGTGCAGCTGCTGTTGCGCTGGAGATATGCTCGCGCAGCTCCTGTTTTTGCTCCCAACGTGTCAGTTAGGGTGCCTGTGCCGCGCGGCTGCCGCCTTGGTCGGAGGAGGCTGCACGGCAAGGCGGGCGAAGCACCCCCGACAGTCGCGGCAATGGAAGGGGACCCCCATCACCATCATCATCACCATCATCATCATCATCATCATCATCATCATCATCACCACCACCATCATCATCATCATCATCACCAGCATCATCATCACCAGCAGTGTCACCACCACCATCCGAATTAACGTCATCATCATCATCAGCAGTATCATCATCAGCATCCTTATCATCAGAAGCATCACCATCATCACCATCATCACCATCATTCGCATCATCATCACCATCATCAGAAACATTAGCATCACCATCATAATAACCATCGACATCATCATCAGCAGCATCATCGTGCGCCAAGGGTGAGGGCGAGGGATATGATGTCGTGGCGAAGCGATGTGAGCCAACAATATCTTGTGTATATACGTATACATACAAGACCGCATTGACGTTTCGCGCCATGCGCGCTGTTCCAGACACTTCTCCGGCAAAGCAATCAATCATCGCTTCAGCAAGGGTGACTTCGAGGCCTGGACGGGCGACCGACTCACTTTTCTGATATCCCTGGTGCCTGCTGACACCGCGTTCGCCCGATGCGTTTGCACGCTCGCGCGCAGGAGTAGGTACGGGATGATGATTGTTTCACGCGCGAAGGTGCTGGAAAACGATGAAGCACCAAACTGTCGCGATGGCACTTGCCCATGAACGGGGAGAGGAAAGGGAGCAGGGATGAAGGGGGGGCTGGGGAGGCGGAAGGGTGAAGGAGGGGGGTATACCTGTTTAAATCGATCGAGGAATTAAAACCTCGAGCCTCAAGCGTGGGACCAGGATCTTCGGGTCAGCTTGGTGTACTTCGTAGGAGAATGTCTTCTGGGCGTCGTTGGGGCTCTTTCGGGCCGTCCTGGGGCCCTCTTGGGCCGTCCTGGGGCGTTCTTGGGCAGTCTTGGGAAGCCGGGGCCTTCCAGAGGTCTTGTGAAGCCATCTAGGATTCTTTTGGGGGGCCTCCAATGGCCATGTTGGGGGTCGCCCATGGCTTTCGTAGGTTTCCCTTGGGAGCCTTCTGGAGGCACCTTGGGTTTTTTGTGGCCAGTCTCGGGGCTCTCTGAGGCAGTCTTGGGGCCCTCGTGGGCCGTCTTCAAACCCTCTGGAGGGTTTCTTGGGCCGTTTGGGGGCGATATCGGGGGCCCATCGGGCCGTTTTGGACGGTACGAAGACCCCCAAAGCGGAGATGGTTATATATACACACACATCTACATACATACATACATACGTACATACATACATACATACATGCATGCATGCATGCATGCATGCATGCATGCATGCATTCATTCATACATACATACATACATACAAAGATACATGCATACATACATGCATGCATGCATGCATGCATACATACATATATGTATACATACCTACCTACCTGCCTGTCGACCTACCTACCTACATACATACATACATGCATACACACATACATACAAACATACATACATACACACATACATACATGTCTACATACCTACATACCTACATACCTACATACCTGCATACATACATACATACATACATACATACATACATACATACATGCATGCATGCATGCATGCATACATACGTACATACATACATACATATACACATACATACATGCATGCATGCATGCATGCATGCATGCATACATACATACATACATACATGCATGCATACATGCATACATACATACATATATATACACCTTTATTCGGGATGTTCTTAACGCCTTCTTGGGGCGTTTTGGGGGCCTCTTCGGCCGTCTTCCGACCATCGAAGTTCCTCTTGGAGCGCTCTTGTGCTGTCTCGGGTCTCTCGTGCGCCTTCCCGATGACCCTTCTGATAGCCTTGAGTCTGCTCGCAAGGCCTGGCAAGGCGCCTTGGAGGCCCGGAAGGGCCAGCGGACCTTTTCCAAGGGCGTCCAGGGGGCCGCCGAGACGTCCGAAAGGGCGTCCCGGGCGTCCGTGGGGGGGGGGGGGTCCGGTTTGGGGGAGGGGGCCGGGTGATAAAAATATGAGAATGGGAATATGCATAGATATATGTATATATACATATATACATATTATGTATGTATGTGTGTATATATATATATACATGCATGCATGCACACATCTACATATGTATGTATATACCCGGAAAAAATTGGCTGGCTGACTGCGAGCGCAGCGCTCGCGGCTCGATGCCCGCCCCGAACCATTGCGGAGGACCCGAGGCCACCTGGTGGCGCCTACGCGGAGACGAACGGCGGCGTGCAGTACCACCCGTCGCCGCGGGGCGAGGACCCCGCCCGCGCCGTCGACGTCGTGGACTACCGCAGCGAGATCATCATCGTGCGCCGTCCGGTCGTCGCCATGCACCCAAACTCTGACCCCTCGTGTCGCGAACAAAAGTCACGCTGGGAGACTTTTGGCGATTTTCGGCCCCTGGGGGCCATCGCCGGGACACAGGACCTTCAGACAACAGCTCGATCGGAATGGAAAACCGGCCCCGCTGACGGGGTCCCGACCTGGTGGGGTCAACGTTGCAAAGACATGACGACACCGGGGGTCTAGGAAGGAGAAGTGTCCTGCTGGATGTTAGGCTTGTCCCTGGGGGCCAGGACACGCTTCCATCAGGACCCTCTTCTTGGTGCCAAGGTCGTCGGGGTGGACGCCAACGGCAGGGGGGCCTTGCTGAAGCAGCAAGTCCCGGACGACGTCATGATCGTCGACCCCGAGCCGGAGGACAAGTACCTCGCCGACGGCCTGGAGTCCCTCAACCAGCTGATGTCCAGCCTCTGGGACGCCCTGCCCAAGGTGGGCGGCGCGCCCAGGGAGGGGGCCGAGCGAGGGGGGAGGCCTTCCGAGAAGTCGAGTCTTCGCTGGCAGGGGGCAACTCGGTTTCACTCCGCCAGTTCTGGCCCACCACGCCTCGACGCGACACGCTTTCCACTTTTCCACTCCCAGGCGTCAGCATCCCGAGCTTTTCCGAGCGTCCCGCCCCGCGGAGCAGAGCGACACGCTATCCGCTCGCAGGGCATGGCGTGTCGCCAGGGCCGCCGTGGCGACACGCTATCGAAAAGCCCCCGACCGTAGACGTGGGGTGAAGATACACTCACCGTCCGTGCGCCTTTTGGGCCCCTCGGTGGAAGTTCAGGGGCCGTTTAGGGCACTTTCTAGGCCCACTCTCCTGCAATCCTCGATTCCCTTACGTGTATTGCCCCCACGTTGCCGGCCGCCCGAAGGAGGACAGAGGCTCCTTAGAAGGGATCGGACTTCGTGGGCCGCAGGGCCTTGTTTGGCCGCTCCAAAAAACAACATTTGAAAACAAAATGCTTCCAGAAGCAGAGAAATCAGTTCCGGGATTGGACCAGAACCGGAAGCGGGGAAAAACATGCGACTGAATTTGGGAAAAAGCGGCGCCAGGCTTGCCAAAAACGGCAGAACGAAACCAGTGAAAAGACGGCCTCGTCGTTTCCAAGGCCCACTGAGGCTCGGAGGCCTCTGGGAGAGCCTCCCGCAGGGAGGGCCTCTGAGAAGCGGGGTGCCTTTTGGAAAGACCGCACCGCTCGGCCCCCGCTGTCCCCTGACCACTCCCCAGATCCAGCCTGGCCCGCGTTCCGAGCCGCGCCCTGCCATGGCCACAATGGGGGGTGGACAAAAAAAAACGAGGAGGAGGAGGAGGAGGAGGAGGACAAGGACGAGGACGTGGACGAGGACGAGGACGAGGACGAGGAGGAGGAGGAAGAGGAGGAAGAGGACGCCAGCGCGCGCTGGGGAGGGCAGCGAGCGGGATGGGTAGGGAGCTGGCCTGGCAGGGTTCGGGGTGATTCACCTTCCCTGTCCATAGGGCTTAAAGGCTTTAGGGGAAGGGGGAGAGGAGGAGGAAGAGGAGGAGGCGGAGGAGGAGGAGGAGGAGGAGGAGGCAGAGGAGGAGGAGGAGTAGGAGGAGGAGGAGGAGGAGGAGGAACCCCCCTCTGCCCGCTGCCCGGAAGGCCCCGAGGCAGGCCGCGCGCTCAGACGGCCCCGACCTGCCTTTGACCCAGACTTCCGTCGTCGTCGTCAGCGTCGTCGTCGTCGCCGCCGTCGTCGTCGTCGTCGTCGTCGACGTCGTCGTTGTGGTCGCCGTCGTGGTCGTCGTCGTCGTAGTTGCGGTTGTGATCGTTGTTGGGGTTGTGGTTGTCCTAGTCGTGGTTGTCGCCGGCCCACGAGAGCTCCTGGACCCCTTGCGCCATAAAGAACCACGTCTGCAGGTGTTCCCCATATCCAGACTGGGGTGCTGGTTTCTCTGCACACGCACACACCGCAGGATCTCCTCTCCCCTCCTCTCTCTTCTTCACCATTAGCATCATCATCACCATCACCATCACCACCACCATCATCATTATCACCAGCATCAGCGTCGTCATTAGCATCATCATCAGCATCACCATCAACATTATCAGCTTCATCAGCATCCTCATCATTATCAGCATCATTATCATCGTGATCACCAGCACCGCGATATCATCATCACCAGCATGGTCTACATCAGCATCTTCATCATGTTCAGAATCATCATCCACACACACTCACGCACTCATCATCCGAATCAGCAGCAGCAGCATCAATGACACTGCCGTCACCATCATCACCACCACCATCATCATCATCGCATCCACACCATGGTCCCACGAACATCATCTCCACACCATGCTGTCACACTCACCATCATCGCCAGCATCACCACACCATCACCATCAATCATTACCAGACCATGTTTTCACAGTCACCATTCGCCTCGCTCACACTCGCACACTCATGTTTATGAACATTCGAGCGCGTGCTTCGCACTACCAGGTATAGCACCTTAGCACCCCAAAGGGGGCAGCTCGTGAGGATTTCTCGAGCGGGAACTTCGTCTGCGAGTGAATAGCGAGGAAGTTTCGTGCGGCGGCCTTCCCGATGGGTCTCGCAATTTATATTACTAGCCCGAGCGGGTCGTCAAACCTTACCAGGCATAGCACGTCAGTTCCCCACGGGAGCAAATCGTGAGGATGTCTTCAGAAACCTCGTCTCCGAGTGAGTAGTGAGGAAGTCTCAGGCGGTAGCCCCTCCTTATGGGGCCCGCACTTCATATTAGCAATCCAAGCAGGTCATCGGCAAACTCTACCAGGCATAGCACGTGAGTACCCCAAGGGGGCAACTCGTGACGATGTCTCAAGCAGGAGCCTCCTCTGTGAGTACATAGCGAGGGAGTCTCAGGCAGGAACCCCCCCCCCACCCCCCCCATGGGGCACATCGGGAGGGTTTCTCACGCGGGGGCCTCGTTTGTTAGTGAATAGCGAAGACGTCTCCAGCGGGAGCCCCCCCCAATGGGGCGCGCACTTCATGTTAAGAACCCGAGCGGGTCATCGGCCAACTCTGCCAGGCATGGCACTTGATCACCGCCAGTCATATGGCGGAAATCTCAAGCGGGAGCTTCGCCTCTGAGCGAAACGCTAAAAAGTCTCGAGTCCTTCTGGGGGGCCGCAGCTCATGCTGGTAATTTGAGCAGGCCGCTTCCTCTGGACCCCCCACACACATCCATCATCAGCACCATCGTTATCACAGCATCATCATCAGTTTCATCATCATCGTCATCATCATTTACTTCATCATCCGTTGCCACTTTGGCTCAAGTGCTCGGGTGCCCGCGCCGCGCCGCGCCCCCCCCGCGCCCCGCCGCGCTGCCCGGCATTGCAGCCTGGCAGCTTCTGCTGATGCTGTTCACGGCGACCATCCTCAAGAACTCGATCGGCCTCTACACGTTCACGCTCGTGCTGACCCTACCGACAGCACGGGCGAGTCCGCAGCCGCCGCTGCACGCGAGAGGCCAGGGTCACGGAGCCCGCGGCGGCAACAAGGAGACGGCCCCGACGCGAACGCGTCGCCGCTCCTTGCCATCTAAAACTTCGTCCCGCAACTTCTCGACGATCTCGAGAAGAAGCAGAATGACTCCCTCCAGAAGTCGCTTGAGGACTTCAACCGCTGACAGCGCGAACACGTTGGGCAACTTCTCAAGACCTACGACGCCAAGCTGCAAAAGCACATTGCGGAGCTCACCCTACGCCAGAACAACATGGACAAGCAGCTCAGCGACCTCACAAGCGATTCGGAGAGGAAGTACAACATCCTGGAGAAGGAGCTCGCTGACATCAAACGGCGCCTCAACCTCGTGGAGAAACGGGAATGGCCCACTCCCGACGAGCTCGCAGAGCTCGGCGACGACGACATGCCTGACCCCTCGATCCTCAAGGTCCGCTGCTCCGCCTACGCCGCCAAGACGGCCGTCTGGAGCTCTTTCTCCGAGCGCCTCAAGACCGCCAATATCGGTGAAGACCAGGCCTCCATCTGCGGCCCACCGGCCGGACGCTCCTTCGAGATCCGCCTCAAGGGTTCCAGCGCTGCTATCAACGCCACCCGCACCTTCTCTGCCCAGAGGAGGGACGGCGAGTGGACTAAACTACAGTGCCCGGCCGCCAACGGCACCGAGACCGCCAACCTCTTCGTCAGCCCCAACAAGAACCCGAAGACCAAGCGCAACGAGAGCCTCCTGCGCCAATTGCGCAAAGCCGTCCTCACCCCGTACCCCGCTTTGGGCGGAAAGCTGCGCATTGCACGTTCCGATGGTATCTTACTCGTCGACTCCGCCCCTGTCGCCCGGGCACTCTCCCCTAAGCCCGGCGAGGTCTATTACAATTGGCGGTTCACCGTGTGCGAGTCCCACAAGATCGACAAGGACGCCGTCTTCGGGAAGATTGCCGAGTACGGGAAGGGCCGCTTCGCGGACATCACGTGAGGCGTGAAACAGATCTTGGGAACGTGCGGGGGCCTCTTCCGCCGGCGTCGGTTTTGCTGTATGGAATGCCCAGGGCTTCTACGCCAGCAGGCACTACCAGCGCAAGGACAAATTCGACTACCTCCGGCGTCCCCTCAAGACGAACACCGCCATCTTCATTGCCGAAGCCCGCTGCACCGTCGAGGCCTTCCAGTCGCTGCTCCCCGACGTGGCGCGCGACTGGTGGATCACAGGTGCACCCGGATCCCGGAGCTCTGGTGGTGTCATCGCCATGGTAAGGAAATTTTGGACTCTAGCCTGAACCCCTCGCGAGCGCGACGTACTCGCAGAAAAAAGAGTCGTTCGCATTCTTGCGAACGCTGGCAACTACACTTGGACCGCCTGGGCCGTCCACAGGACAGGACAATTACATATACAAACCAAATCTACAAACCAAATCTGCATATATATAGACAAGACAATTACATAGACAAGACATACCAAGACGACGAGGACGGCGACGACGACGAAGACGCCGAGGGAGCAGGAGGGTGGAGCGGGATGCCTCTAAGGTCACGTACCAGGGGATCCAGAGCCGCATCACAGTGGGCAAGAGGACCGCGTTGCAGCCGTTGCAGGAGAAGGAGGAGGAGGAGGAAGGAGGAGGAGGAGGAGGAGGAGGGGGAGGGGGAGGAGGAGGAGGAGGAGGAGGAGGAGGAGGAGGAGGAGGAGGAGGAGGAGGAGGAGGAGGGAGGAGGAGGAGGAGGAGGAGGAGGAGGAGGAGGAGGAGGAGGAGAGGAGGAGGAGGAGGAGGAGGAGGAGAGAAGAGGAGAGGAGAGGAGAGGAGAGGAGAGGAGAGGAGAGGAGAGGAGAGGAGAGGAGAGGAGAGGAGAGGAGAGGAGCAGCGGCAGCAGCAGGAGGAGGGAGGAATGCGAGGGGGGAGGGGGAGAGGGAGGAGCGAGAGGGAAAAGGGATAACGGAGAGGAAAGTGAGCCAACCAGACTTCTGGGCGCGGCGAGGAAACCACAACAGGTGTCGTTTGTGCCTCGTGTCGCCCACCCCACCCACCCCCCAAGGCCCTCGCGAGTCCATCCGGCTCGAGAAATCCCTTTAAAGGTCGTGTTGAGAGTTCTAGTGTTGACTTTTCGCGACGTCGTGCTTTCGACCAAGCAACGACGGTTGTTGTTGTTGTTGTTGCTGTTGTTGTTGTTGTTGTTGTTGTTGTTGTTGTTGTTGGTGGTGGTGGTGGTGGTGGTGGTGTTGGTGTTGTTGTTGTTGCTGTTGTTTCTCCCCCCCTTCCTCGACCATGTTCCCCTCCTTTCCCGTCCCCTCTTCCAGCCAGTCTTGTCCTCCAACCCCCTCTCACCCACCTCCAAGAATGGGATGAGACGGAGGTCTCGCTGGTTTGCGAATGGATCCGACCCAGCCATTCCTGTGTCTGCCGATTTGACTTCCTTGTGACTCCTCAAAAGTCCTCTTCCTATACTTGTATAAGCCCGGGCGGGGGGAAAACCCATCACCCCCCCCGAAAAAACCGGACTCCCGGGATCTGGGGCTTTGGAACCCTCCGGACGGGCCTCGAAGCGCCCCCCCGGGCCTTGCAGCCTTGCAGGGCGTTTTGACAAGCCTTCGCAGCACACCTGGGGCGATCAGGGGGGTCATCGGAGACGTCCCAGGGACCCCCAAGACAGCACAAGAGCGTTCCAAGAGTGACCGACGTGACCTCAAGATGGCCCAAGAGGCCTCCAGGACAGCCCCAAAGAGGCCTCCAAGAGCACTCCCAAGAAGGCCCCAAGAGGCAAAACTCATTAGTTTTGTGTGGGTTTTTGGTGAATTTTGGGGTTCTCCTCTTTTCGGCTTCCCGACGCTCCAAGACTGCGGTCTTCTAGGCGTCCGAAGCCGCTTGGGAGGCTCCAGAATCGCCCCACAAACATCCGAAAGGGCTTCCAGGCAGTCCAAGAGAGCCCCAAAACGGCACAACACGGGTCCAAGATGACCCTCAGAGAGCCCCATGGCGGCCCAAGATGGCCCCAAGATACCCTCCGAAGCATTCCAAATCGTGACCCGGTCGTTCAGGGAGACCGCGGTTGGAGGCAGGGTGGCCCGAGGAAGCCCCCAGAGGCCCCCAGAATACACCCAGGAGGCCTCCTGAAAGCATTAAACAAGCCTGAAACATTTTTGTGAGGCCCCCAGAGGCTCTCCAAGGAGGAGCCTTCGCAATAAAGAGCTGAGGAGGATGGGGAGAATGCGCAGGGTATGGCGAACATGCAGAAAAAGAAGCATGGAGGAAGGATAACGAATCACATAATTGTAGCGGCCATGCCGGAAAAAGGCAACAAGGAGTTATCGCTAAATTGTCGATTTGACTTTCCTGCAATTCCGCCTGCATACCACACTTCAAGGACCAAGGTGCATGGCGCGAAGCACCATTGTAGTCTTGTATATATATATATATATATATAATGTTTGCCGACTCGATGTTCACGACGATCCCATATGTTTTGTTGATTCGATGTTGGGGTCGTTTGCTTCTTCCTCTTCCTCCCTCTTCCGCCCACCCCCCGCCCCCTCAGTCTCTCGTGGAGGGCTCGGAGTGCCAACCCCTTCCCGTTTTAGCTACTTGTCCCAACCCTTTTTGGTTGGGTACCCGATCTGACAGCGCATTGTTGCTCCTCTCCGCCTCATCATCTCGTACCCTCCCCTCCTGGGGCCGCCATGCGAATTTTGCCACTGAGGCCTTCGGTGGAACTCCTTTATTGGGCCACGAAACGTGTGAGGGGTGTGCCGAAATCGGGGCGGGGCCGCCATGCGAACTTTGCCACTGAGGCATTCGGTGGAGCTCCCTATTGGGCCACGAAGCGTGTGAGGAGTGTGCCGAAATGGGGGCGGGGCCGCCATGCGAACTTTGCCACTGAGGCATTCGGTGGAGCTCCCTATTGGGCCACGAAGCGTGTGAGGGATGTGTCGACATGGGGGCGGGGCCGCCATGCGAACATGACCAATGAGGCCTTCGGTAAAGCTCCCTATGGGGCCACGAAGCGAGTGAGGGGCGCAAGGGATGGGAGGAGCGGGAGGAGGGAGGAGGAGAGGAGAGGAGGAGGAGAGGAGACGCGGGGCGCTGTCTCTTCAAAACGAGAACCCAACACCACAGGATGGTTGGGACAAAAACTGGACCGCCGATCCTCGGTCCCCGAGGTCCCCCGCGGGGGCGCGAATCGGGGCTTAAGAGACGGGGGTCAATGCCAACGAGGGTAGGTTGGAACACCGGATCTTGCGGGATCTTGCGGAGCCAGGGGTGCACTGACCTGGGCTTGGGCGCAGGAACCTGCAGGATCCTGCAAAAGCTGACTGACCCGGGTCTGGATTGACCCGGGTCAGTAGATCCCCGAGCGAAGAGAAACGCGCGACGCAGTCTTGACCGAAGAGTTGCCCTTCACCATCAGGCGCGGCGCGAGTGCGGGAGGGCGCGGAGGCAATCGCGCATCGCGCGGCGTGGTGCGCGAGGTTGGGCGGCCCGGGCCCTCCCCGTCCCCAGTGCTGCCCCCGGAGGCTCACGGTGCAGCCTGCGCTGCACGGCGGCAGGGCCACCCACTTCACGGTGGAGCCTGCGCTGCCGCCGGGGCTCTGGCTGAACCCGGCCACAGGCGGTTGGCGGCCGTTGTCGTCATCGCCGCCGTCGCCGCCGCCGCGTTGGTTCTCTTGGAGGCCTGGAAATTGGCACCGACACCCACACAGGCGGGGGGGAGTCCCCTTGGGGAGGATGATCTTACATTCTGATGCTGGTGGTCATATTTCGGCCAGTTAGGGAGCTCGAGTGCTGCCACCGCGAGATCGGGATCACCTTCCCTCGGTGGAGGCAACCGCCGATATTGGTGTTGAGGCCAATCCCTGACTTCCCACTCGGCGGCTTTTGGGCGCTTCCAGTGATTATTTGGGGCTTTCGGTCGCTCTCGGCGGTTGCCGCTCGTCGCCGCCGTGGTCGTCTTCGTCGGCGTCGCCATCGAGGTTCGAGGATGGAAGTTCGAGCACGTTTGTGGGTGCCCGTCTTGACCTCTGGGGGGCGTCCTCGTCGCCACGGCTGGATCCGCTTCGGATTTTTGGCCGGAATGCGGAATTTATATGAAAACCAGTGCGTAATCGACGAATCGAGGGTACGCTGACACATGATGGAGAAGGAAGCTAGTGGCCAGGTGGCCCGAGAGAGGCTGAGTGGCGAGATCAGCCGTTCGGAAGAGACAAGAGCTGTGGTTTGGCCCCGAACTGTGTTTGCAATAACGGGCTCTTAGTTGATTTTGGGAGAGTTGGGTTTGTGAACCAAGTTTTCCAGTTGTTGCCATGGGGTCCTGCCCATATACAGTCACGACCTCAGCTGCCTCGTGGGCCAGAATTTCATCTTGCCCATTGGGCCCGTACTCAGTTGCCCGGAGGGCGGAATCTTTCTGAAACCCACAGGGTCTCGCCCATCCCGCCCCTTGAATGGTCCTGCTATTGGTTGCCGTGAGGGCCAGGCTTCATGTCTGTCGCCCGTGCAGCCCCGCCCAAGGATACAGTCGATGTATCAAATATGAAACCATTTTGCCAGCAGGTGCACCACGCAAATCCGTTATGGCGATATTTCTCATAGCGAGATGTATTATCGCACAGCAGGTACCACCGACCCTGAAGGGGGACGACGACGACGACGACGACGACGACGACGACGACGACGCTGACGCTCTGGAGCCCATCTTGGGGCTCTCTTGGGAGCCTGTTGGGCTTTGTTGGGGGGGCTCTTGGGGGACTTCTTGGGAAGCGCCGTGGTCACTTGGTGCCGCCTCGGGGCGTTGTGGCCTCTTGGAGGCATGTGGAAAGACTTACTATCGCATGTGTTTCCGTAGAGCACCAGGCCTTGGTTGCCACAGGTGGGGCGGCCAGACTGTCTGGCTGCCCGCCCGCAGGGTCCGCTCTCTGCAGGCTGCTTCGGGGACCAGATCTCTTCCGGCCTGCCGGCCTGCGCAGGCCAGCAGCGCCCTGCCCATACAGCCAAAAAGAGGTCTGAAATGAGGGCCGCTTTGGGCTCTGAGGAGGCGCTCTGGCTTTGGGCCATGCCTCGGCTGCTCTGGGTCGGAGGGACTACTCGTGGCCGAGGCTCGCCGTGGCCGGAAAAGCTCCTTCGTTCCTGGATCAGCGTTCCTCCTGGTAGCGCCACGACTGCACGACACCCTGAGCTGCCCTGGGGACCGGGCCGTTCAGGTTGCCGCCTGCAGGGCCCCGCCCAGGCAGGGTCCCATCGTCTAGCTGCCCTGCAGCGGTCCCGCCCAGAGGGTCCCGCCCGTGGCTTCTTCGGGGGCCAGGCCTTCGGGTTGTCGCCCACAGGCGCCCATGAGGGCCCTCGTCAGGGGATAAGGGAGTCGGGGAGAGGAAGGAGCAGGAGGAGTGGATAGGAGAGAGGAAAAACCCATTGGAACCTCTTGGGCCCTCGGAGAACCTCAGAGACTCCAGAGCCTCCTCGACCACCCCCCATAACCACCCATAATTTTCCACAACCCCTCCGGACCCCCTCGCCTCCCCCATTTTCTCATCCCCCTCTTCATCCTCCTATTCCTGCTCCTGCTCCGCCTCCTTCTCCTCCTCCTCCTCCTCCTCCTCCTCCTCCTCATCATCATCATCATCATCAGCATCAGCATCATCATCATCATCAGCAGCAGCATCATCATCAGCAGCAGCATCAGCATCATCATCATCAGCAGCAGCATCAGCATCGTCATCATCATCCTCCTCGTCGTCGTCATCATCAGCAACATCATCATCATTATCAGCAGCTGTAGCAGCATCGTCATCGTCATCATCGTCGTTATCGTCATCAACATCATCAACAGCAGCATCATCATCGTCGGCAGCGGCAGCGGCAGCGGCAGCAGCATCGGCAACGGCAACGACATCATCAATGGCAGCATCATCATCATCGTGATCATCATCATCATCATCATCATCATCATCATCATCATCATCATCATCATGATCATCATCATCATCATCATCATCATTGTCATCGTCATCGTCATCAACATCAGCATCATCTTTATCATCATCAGCAGCATCATCACCGTCGTCGTCGTCACCCATCATCATCGTTAGCCCCAGCATCCTCATCGTCATCATTCTCACCCAGAAAATCATCCTCCTGCTCCTCTCCGTCTCCTCATCCTGCTCATCAGCATTATCATCATCACCATAATCTTCATCATCAACCCCCTACCCTAGATGTTAAATCAATGATTTGATTATCATCCAGAGCACCCCTCCAGAAGATTCAGGGAGCAAAAAATTTGCTGGTGCGCGTCGATTCGCCCACGATCTTGAGGGCACTGAGTCTGTGTCCAGCCTTTCACACGGCAGCAAATATTGAGCAGTCAGTGCTCGATACACCACAGAAGGCCACCCGCGCGGCAGAGCAGAGACCATCAAGATGCTCAACAGTGACGGCTTCCTCGAGTTCTTTATTCAGCTGCTTGCGGCAAGCCCCGCCACCACCCCCAGCATTCTCGGTGGCAGCTGCTCGAACCGATGAGGACGACGATGAGGATGACGACGATGAGGGGATGAGGAGGAGCAGAAGGTTTGCGGCGGACGAGGAGGATTAATGTCATGATGATGATGGCGATAAAGATTAGGAGGACGTGATGGTGGGGGCTCTTGCGCAAAAAGATTTTGGCTTCGCCCAGCGCCAGCTTCGTGCAGCTGGAGCAGCGCGAGGTTGCAGTGCGCAGGAATGCGCTGTCTTTCATCCGTGGCGCCAGGGGCCCGGCGCTTGTGCACCCGGGAATTAGATTTCGCCGAGATGGTTCTCCGGGGCAGGACCATTAGCGTCGGGATCGAGATCGTCATCTAATTGATCGGTGAACCCTGCAGTTGCCGCAGCTCGAGCCCGCAAGCCGCCCATCCCATCCCGCGCCGCGATGGCTGCTGCTCGCCGGGCACAGGCCGACCAGACGCTTAACGATCACAGCGAGCGTATCGATTAGCTCGAGCAGACCACGCGCCGCCACTGCGGCTCTGGACGCCCTGCTGAAGAATTGTGTCCGGATCGTAGGGGGTTTTCCTCAAGCGGGCGTCTTCTATTTGGGTAAAAGGAGGCCGGGAACTTCTGCGAATTAAAAGAGAGATGGCCCAACGTGGTGCGCAAGGAGGTCGCAGAGTGCCTCGACTTGACCTGGCCGCTCGATGTCCCGATGGGCAGAGGCGATGATTAGCGCACTGACGCATTACGCTGCTTGTACAGGACCCTGTCGGTTCGCAACCTGCTAGCGTGTGTGTGTGTCTACGAGGAGTGGAGGTGGAACGAGACGGCCAGCGGAGGCGGCGGTTGGCAGCGCCTGCAAGGCGTCTTAAAAACGAAGCTGCGGTTCTGCACAGAGTCGCTTCTTGTTCTGAGCGCGTTCGGGCTCTGGGCCGGCTGTTGAGGAGGGCGTGTGGCCTGGACGTGGACGGTCGCCCCGCGCGCGTCGAGGGCGTTGAGCCCCCCTGCGGCGCCCCCCCTACTCGGAACGCACGCCGGCGGAGCGGAACAAGAGCAAAGGCGGCAAGGGTCACAAAGGAGACAATGGCAACAAGGGGAAGAGCAAGGCCGGCCGGGGCGGCAAGGGAACGGGCAATGCCAAGGGCAAGAAAGGCACGGGGGCGCGGACGCGGAAGGTGCGATCCACAGGGTGCGCGCCCCAAGGCAGCCCAGGCGGCGGCGGCGGCGCCGGCTGCCGCTGCTGCCGCCGCCCCCGCGGCCGCTGGCGCCGTCGCCCTGGCGGCGGCCGCCCCGGCGGTTGCCGCCGCCGCCGCCCCGGGGGCGGCGGGCCGTTTGGCCTCCAAGCGCCACAGACACATGCGCGAGAGTTCGGCGTAAAGGGCCCATAGTCTGGCGAGTGCACTGCATGGATGGTCGACCTGTCGTGGACCTGTCAGCCTTGCACGTCATTTGCGACCTTTTGAACTGCAGCGGAGCTCGGGGCGCGATAAACATGGCGTTCGCTGCGACTCCTCTCCCGTCGCCGGCGTTTTGCTCGGACTCGGCTCGTTCATGCCCCCTGTCAAAAAAGTGTCTGGGTGTACTTCGAATTGGTGGTAAGTTCCCTATAACTGTGGCTGCGTCGATGGTGTCTTATCCTACCCCCCCCTTCCCCCCTCCCCCCAATTTCATCGCCTTCGACGTGATCCAAGGAGGCACCTGGATTCACCCCAAAGGCCCGGCCGTCGCTCGCGGCGCACGCGCCGGAGGCGGAGGCGGAAGGGAGCAGTTTGATGACGAGCAAGGTGCGCAGGCCTCCTCGTGGCCGTTCGTCGGAAACGCGTCTTCCTCATCCCCAGCATGCGCCTCCCCTGAGTGCGGGGGGGCAGGCTGCAGCGGACCTGTGCCCTTCCCCTCGCCCTCGCTCCATTTTCCTCCTCTCCGTCCGACGTCCTCCCCTAGGGTCCGCAGTTCTCGCCGCTGTTCACTCCCCCGCAGGGGTTTTGCGTCTCTCGGAGGTGTGTTTACTTGGTTTGAGAGGGGATGAGGACAATTTACGCGGCTCACCCATACCCCATTCGGGGTGCCCCCTTCTGCGCTGAATTGAAGGGTATGGTCGCTGCTGCGTTTGTGTCCTCTTGATTGCGCTCGGGTCGGCCATCCTCTGCGCCATAAGGAGCGATTGGCAGCGGGAGTTCACACCCTACCTGGGATCATCACGCCGCGGAGGCGGTTGGGGCTTCGGCCCTTTCCTCCGTGGGGGTTTCGGCTCCGGCTGGGGCCTCGGTGCCAGCAGCGGATCCTGGGGTGCAGACCGGCGATTCGCATGGCCAACGCGCGTCGGTTTTTGAGCCGCATGTGGCGCGTGTTGTAGCGAGCGTTTCCATGGAGGGCCCCAAGTTTTTCTTCGGGTGAAACTCGGTGCGTGTGTGTATGTGTGCGTGTGCGTACACGGGTTCGTGTTCCTTCAGGTGATCTTGCAGAAATTGCTCGGGTGGCGCCAGAGGAATCGATTTGTGTAAATGCGCCAAGTAGGCGCCTTGCGTCACCGCTGGTGCGGCCACCTTTTTGGTGTTATTTTATTTCGGTCTCGGGCACCAAGGTGGCGTTACAGAACGATGCCGCACGTGATGGGTGAGTTCGTGGAAGGGGGAAGCAATGAGTTTTCGAATGCGTATTTATCATTGGTGGGAAGGTTTGTTTTTGCCGCCGTCCTTGAGGCCTTCCCTGGCATGGTACATGTGATCCACTTGGTCGTGTGTCTTTTTGAGGCTGTTTTGATCGAGCCGGCGGCGATCCTCGGAAGGTCGTCGGCGGGCGTGGCTGGCAGTTCTATAGTTCCGCCGAGCAGGCTTGTCTCCTCGTGGGGCAGGTCAATGCCGCCCCCACGCCCTTGCAGCCGGGGTTGTCTCTTGATTGCGCGCTCCTTTGTGGAACTGGTGTGGTGCGTGGGTGTGTGGGGGTCTGATTATGTGTCCCCTCCCTCTCCCTGCCCCACAATCATAAGTGTTTTTTATGTGCGCCCGCCTGTCCAATAAGATTGGTTTGTAGCCCTTGTGCACAGATGGCACGCACACGCAATGAAGCGTGCAGTTCGGTTGTGGTGGTGGTAGGGCTGAAATTGTGTCTCGGGGTTCGGGCTGCTGTGGTTGCTACGTGTATGTGCCTAGGTTGATGCTCGCCTCCTACTAGATCCCAGGTCACACGCGGGTTCTCCCTGACGGCCTGGCCGTCGCTCGCGGCGTACATGCCAGAGGCGCGGGCGGAGGCGAGAGCCGCTTGATGATGGCAACAAAAAGAGTATTGAGATGAACCGCGTGTTGGCAAGACCGAAGACAAGAAAAAAGAGCTCGAACGCGCGGTGCGTGCTTCAGAAACAGGGATGTCATATTCGGAAAACAGCATCTCAACCTGGACTGCCGCGACCAAGGCCCTGGAGGTGGGCACCAAGGCTCTTGACAAATCGGTTGCTGAAGCGATTGCCATGCGCAAAGAGAAGATCGAAGAGTTCCACGAACTAGCCACGAGCGACGCGGCCGCCAAGGAAATGCCTGCGTGGGCAAAGATCAGGTTTGATCGAAGACGCTTACGGCGAATCACAGCCGCCCTGTGCCTTTTAGGGTACGCCAATGTGGCCAAACGTTTGGCAAAAGTGCAGCCACGCTGCTGGACCATGCGTTCCCCGAACCGTTGTGGACACCCGTCTGGACACGTGGAGGAGGCAGCGGAGGGTGACGAGACGGAGGCGACAAAAAGGAGGAGGAGGACAATGAAGAGAAGATTTGTTTTACCTGCTTTGGTCAGTATTGGGGCCTCCTGTAGTATTACTACTCGCCACTTGCAGTAGTATTGAGAGTACGAGTATGACTACTACTGCTACTATTACTACTACTACGACTACTACTACGACTACTACTACTACTACTACTACTACTACTACTACTACTACTACTACTACTACTACTACTACTACTACTACTACTACTACTACTACTACTACTACTACTACTACTACTACTACTACTACTACTACTACTACTACTACTACTACTACTACTACTACTACTACTACTACTACTACTACTACTACTACTACTACTACTACTACTACTACTACTACTACTACTACTACTACTACTACTACTACTACTACTACTACTACTACTACTCTGACTACTACTACTGACTACTACTACTACTACTACTACTACTACTACTACTACTACTACTACTACTACTACTACTACTACTACTACTACTACTACTACTAACTAATACTACTACTACTACTACTACTACTACTACTACTACTACTACTACTACTACTACTACTACTACTACTACTACTACTACTACTACTACCACTACTACTAATACTACTACTACTACTACTACTACTACTACTACTACTACTACTACTACTACTACTACTACTACTACTACTACTACTATCAATTATCATAACCTATTAATACTATAACTAATATTACTACTGGCTAACTACTAGCTCTACAAACTACTACCACTACTACTACTACTACTAACTACTACTGAACTACTACGACTCTTGCTACCACCACTACTACTACTAATACTACTACGACAACTACTAATACGACTACACTACTACTACTACTACGACTACTACATTACTAACGAACTGACTGACCTACTAGTACTACTACTACTACTACTAATAATACTACTACACGACACCACTATCACACCTACAACTAATAATAACTAACTACTAACACCCTATTACTACTACTACTACTACTACTACTACTACTACTACTACTACTACTACTACTACTACTACTACTACTATCACTACTACTACTCCTACTACTACTGCTACCACTACAACTACTACTACTACTACTACTACTACTACTACTACTACTACTACTACTACGACGACTACTACTACTACTACTACGTGACTACTACTACTACTACTACTACTACTACTACTACTACTACTACGACTACTACTACTACTACTACTACTACTACTACGACTACTACTACTA